GGAAGCACAAAAAGGAGTGAATAGGCTGAAGCTAACGCCACAAAACGGGCAAAACATTTTCCAGTTCTCTATGTAGTGCAGCGAGCACCATCAGGGTAATAAGGAAGCGCTGTGAGGAGTTAGTTTCTCGACGTTTGTTGACATCCCACGTTTAGCTGACTATAAATCACTTTTCTGTGCTACAAATATGGAGTAAGCCTAATCGTTGAGTCACTTCCGGTATTTCAGACAATCCCTTTCCGTCAAGAGCCACTTATTTTGTTGCAGACTTGTTAATTTGTTGTGGACTTGTGTTTTTAGTGTTTTCTGAAATGTTATTTTGTTATCAATTTTTTTATTTGTCTTTTTTTATGTAAAAGTGTTTTCGGAAAGGTTATTTTGTTGTCGATGTTGTAAATGTGATTTGCACTTCCCAGCCACTGTAAACAACTGAAAAGAACACAACATTAATAACAATCGCACTCTCCGAAGTAAAAATTTTACACACACAAATTGTTAAAGACAAATTTGATTTAATTAATACTAACATTTTTAAAGGTGAGGCTCACATATAAAACAATGAAACTCTTTATTAGATTAAAAAGGGGATAGGCCCTGGTTTCTGTACCAATTTGGTGTCAGATCATGACATGAAATAACACTATTTATGTATTTATATACTGTATATAGCTTCCCATACTTGAAAAGAGGTCCTTTAATCTACACAATGTCATCTCTGTATCCAAACGCCATTGGGTGTTAAACATAGAAATTATGAAAGACTTAAGTTACATTAAACACGCATTACTATATTATTTCCTGGATGTACCTTTGTCTTGAAGATCGTTCTACAGAAACATAAACATCGTGACTGAGCATGGGTCTCACTGATACACAACCAAGTTTACCTGAAAACTCGCATCATCCCTCTATGTGAGCTGTGCCTGCACTAAAGTCACAGGGCTCTGACAGCATGAATATGAAAACCAGTTATGTCGCTGGACTGAGCCGCTTTAGCTTAATTACCACAACTGAAAAACACTGCGTGGAGACAAAAGCTTCGAAAAACTGTGACTGACAAAATCCCGCACAAACGATTTTAACTACATCACTCACCACTGAGTGCGAAACTTTTTCATAAAATTTTAAAACTAAATGAGGGAGGTTACAGTCCATCGAAATATATCATTGATATATTTTTTTTTATGATAAAACATGTGGTTAGTGAAAGCTGCGAAGTAACAAAGATGTGAAGACTTGGAAAGTGACCTTCTGCTAGCAGTCCATTTCATGCCATTTTGCGTAAAAATACGATACTGTCATTACAGTGGTCATTATTAATCTAATTTTGACGTATCATACTGTTTAGAACTTTAACTTAAAACTGCTATACGTTATTGTTTAAAACGTGTTGTATATTCGAACAAATTAAGATAATCTCACCTCAGACAAAATGGAGATCATCCACTGCTGAGCCGTGAGTGTCCTGCACATGGCACAGCAGACTACGGGTGGAAGTGTAGAATGATTGAAATGAAAATGCTTTCAATACTTAAATCTATTAGATTTCTTAATTTTTCATGGTACTCATACATTTTTGTTAAATCTGCTAAACAAACTATTGCTTAATTTACCCTAAACAAAACTGTGTAAATTTAAATAATTGAACATCTCAAAAATGTTTAGTTTTGTTTAGATTTAATTAAAACAACACATACATGTTTTTTACTGAGTAATACTTACTATTACTTTTCTATTAGATATTAATGAACCCAAATCACAGTTTTTACAGTGTACATCACCTTCCCTGACAGTCGTAGCTTGGCTCATCTGAGGGTGAAATTATAAGAATGTGTTATTTTGCAAAGTGCTCTCTAAGGTTCCTAAATAAAATATGGCATTGAGGTCATTTCTTTTGAATTAATCCCATCACCAGTGTGTGAATGTGTGTGTGAATGGGTGCATGACTGGATGTGTAAAGCGCTTTGGGGTCCTTAGGGACTAGTAAAGCGCTATACAAATACAGGCCATTTACCATTTTTGAAATATAAGAACCTCTCCTGTTTTTAATGGCACTCTGGGTTTCCTTACTTTCTGTTCCACTCCCAACCCCAAATACAGTGGGGCAAAAAAGTATTTAGTCAGCCACCGATTGTGCAAGTTCCCCCACTTAAAATGATGACAGAGGTCAGTAATTTGCACCAGAGGTACACTTCAACTGTGAGAGACAGAATGTGAAAAAAAAAAATCCATGAATCCACATGGTAGGATTTGTAAAGAATTTATTCGTAAATTAGGGTGGAAAATAAGTATTTGGTCACCTCAAACAAGGAAAATCTCTGGCTCTCACAGACCTGTAACGTCCTCTGTAAGAAGCTTTTCTGTCCCCCACTCGTTACCTGTATGAATGGCACCTGTTTGAACTCATCATCTGTATAAAAGACACCTGTCCACAGCCTCAAACAGTCAGACTCCAAACGCCGCCATGGCCAAGACCAAAGAGCTTTCGAAGGACACCAGGAAAAGTATTGTAGACCTGCACCAGACTGGGAAGAGTGAATCTACAATAGGCAAGCAGCTTGGTGTGAAAAAATCAACTGTGGGAGCAATCATCAGAAAATGGAAGGCATACAAGACCACTGATAATCTCCCTCGATCTGGGGCTCCACGCAAGATCTCATCCCGTGGGGTCAAAATGATCATGAGAACGGTGAGCAAAGATCCCAGAACCACACGGGGGGACCTGGTGAATGACCTGCAGAGAGCTGGGACCAAAGTAACAAAGGTCACCATCAGTAACACACTACAACGGCAGGGAATCAAATCCCGCAGTGCCAGACGTGTTCCGCTGCTGAAGCCAGTGCATGTCCAGGCCCGTCTGAAGTTTGCCAGAGAGCACATGGATGATACAGCAGAGGATTGGGAGAATGTCATGTGGTCAGATGAAACCAAAGTTGAACTTTTTGGTATAAACTCAACTCGTCGTGTTTGGAGGAAGAAGAATACTGAGTTGCATCCCAAGAACACCATACCTACTGTGAAGCATGGGGGTGGAAACATCATGCTATGGGGCTGTTTTTCTGCCAAGGGGACAGGACGACTGATCCGTGTTAAGGACAGAATGAATGGGGCCATATATCGTGAGATTTTGAGCCAAAACCTCCTTCCATCAGTGAGAACTTTGAAGATGAAACGAGGCTGGGTCTTCCAACATGACAAAGATCCAAAACACACCGCCCGGGCAACAAAGGAGTGGCTCCGTAAGAAGCATTTGAAAGTCCTGGAGTGGCCTAGCCAGTCTCCAGACCTCAACCCCATAGAAAATCTGTGGCGGGAGTTGAAAGTCCGTGTTGCTCGGCGACAGCCCCAAAACATCACTGCTCTCGAGAAGATCTGCATGGAGGAATGGGCTAAAATACCAGCTACTGTGTGTGCAAACCTGGTAAAGACCTATAGTAAACGTTTGACCTCTGTTATTGCCAACAAAGGTTATGTTACAAAGTATTGAGTTGTATTTTTGTTATTGACCAAATACTTATTTTCCACCCTGATTTACGAATGAATTCTTTACAAATCCTACCATGTGGATTCATGGATTTTTTTTTTTTTTTTTCACATTCTGTCTCTCACAGTTGAAGTGTACCTCTGGTGCAAATTACTGACCTCTGTCATCATTTTAGGTGGGGGAACTTGCACAATCGGTGGCTGACTAAATACTTTTTTGCCCCACTGTAGATGCTGACAAGCTGACACAGTAACATGGAAGAGGGAAATAAGAACAATAATAAAGATAAAAGATGAAGTAACAAGTTTTTAGTTTCTTGTTTATTCCAGATGATCATCCAGATGTCTGTGACATGTGATGACAAACACCATAATGGAAGGCCTTTCTCATCACATGCTTAAACTCATCATCTCATCATATATTTTTGCATACGCTGAGCAGGCAGTCAGACATGCTGTAACTGTGGGGTAGAAAACTGCATGAACACCATACAGCAGGGGTCTCAAACTCCAGTCCTCGAGGGCAACTTTTCCATGTGTCCCTGTTACAACACACCTAGTAGGTCATTAGCAAGAGTATAGAACTTGACTGCATGCTGCGTTGGCAATTCAGCCATTTGAGTCATGTTACAGCAGCTCATGAGTGAATGAACATGGTGCAATAAAAGTATTTTTAGAAGTATATGTTTCCAAATACATACATTTACTTAAATTTACTTGAGTAGGGTTAGCATGCAGTCAAGTTCTATACTCTTGCTAATGACCTACTGACCTATTGTATTCAGGTGTGTTGCACCAGGGACACATGGAAAAGTTGCATGACACCGGCCCTGGAGGACTGGAGTTTGAGACCCCTGTCATACGGAATATGACAGGTGTGGTTGAACTGCGTGAAGACTCTGAAGTTTCTCTTTTCTTCTGGCAGGACAGGAATGTGGCCTTGTCTTGTGAGCCACCGTAAGGATGTACTTGAAGTAGAACTGGACCGTCACCGTCACTCTTCACCTTTTCAAAGACAAAGCAGTCATTTAGATAAAATATTAGATATTGTTTACCTGTAAATGCACAAAGAGAATTTAGAAATTAATTCTTGCCTCAGAGTCTCTGGAATCTAAAAAAGCTAAATATGATGATATTCAGCAACATAAATTAGTGTTTTAAGATTAAGATTTAAGATTACAATGAATTTGTGATTGTTTCAAAGCATACTGTCGTGAGAGAAGGCACTGAACACAGACTATTTGCTGGGGAGGTTGCATAGCTGTGTAGGTTGGCGAAAGGAGCCGGTAGCTGGCCGGGGCATCACGATGGTTGCTAGTAGTCTGTAATAGAATAGAAAATAATGGGAGTAAATATTTCTAGTCCAACATCATCAGATAACCATCAAACCATCAAAATAAAATTAAACATTTAAATAAAATTAAACACCAATAATCTCCAAAAGTTGATTCTGTTCATCTGGAAAACGCTACGTCCAGATAAACAGAATGAACCTTTGGAGATTTACTTACCTGGATGATTGAGCATGCATCAAGACGTTTAAATGCCAATAAATTGTTAAAATTGAAAAGCATGTGTCTCTTTGATTCAAATGTGATTATCTGTAAATATGTCGCTGATATTAAAAACTGTTTTAAATGTTTTAATTCATGTTCAGACACAACGAGAACAACCATACTCGAAAGGGCAGGTCCCTGTTTCCTATTACGTCCTCAAATCACGTTGTCGCTGGGGTTTTTCAAATACGTCCGTTGTACTGACTTAAAGTCGCACCCGTGCGGTGACTTTTCATCAGTATCACTTAAGCTGACAAAATGAGTGGACGCGGGAAAGGAGGAAAGGGACTCGGGAAAGGAGGCGCTAAACGGCACCGCAAAGTTCTCCGTGATAATATCCAAGGCATTACTAAGCCTGCCATTCGTCGTCTAGCCCGTCGCGGTGGTGTGAAGCGTATCTCCGGCCTGATTTACGAGGAGACCCGTGGTGTACTTAAGGTGTTCCTGGAGAACGTGATCCGCGATGCAGTCACCTACACCGAGCACGCCAAGAGAAAGACTGTGACCGCAATGGATGTGGTGTATGCTCTTAAAAGGCAGGGCCGTACTCTATACGGTTTCGGAGGTTAACGCTACTGTCTTGATTCCAACACAACGGCTCTTTTAAGAGCCACACAACTCCTCTTAAGAAATAAGTGTTCCAACTTTACAACTAGTGGCTTGGGTACACCGAATTTTGTGAAACTGCTAATGAGACTCTTAAACATTGCAACGTGATTGTACATAGAACTTATGGGCCGTTGAAACGGCCGTTGTGGCTGTAAGTAACTCGTCGGGCTGGCTTCGTGCCCCAAACAAAAATGGCGACGCCGCTGATGTGAAGTTAACAATGTTAACTTTTTTCCCACCTAGCTTTCCAATATCCACCTTTCCTAACCTTAAAATGACTGTCTTGCTCATTTCTCAATGAAACTCTATTTCCCTGTAAAAACCTAACATTAGTTGCCTTGGGACATAACTTTTTTTTTTTTTTTTAAACAAAATGGATGCCATAACGCGCTGTGACGTAGTCTCTAGAAATGGCTTCTAAGCCGGTGGCTCAGAGCTGCGCTGTGTTTGTGATTTAAGGTGAACATTTTCTATTTAGAGTTATATCAGAAAAGTTTAAAAAAAAAAAACCCTTCACGGACACGAGTTTTAATCTCCTGTGAAACGTTCTCTAAAATGACAACTTTCGATGTTTCTAATTTAATTATTTTTCTTTCACCACAGAGCCAAGTGAGAGGTAGAACAGCATTTTCCCGTGCTCTCTTACGAACAGTTTGTAACAAGTTTTCATAATCAGGGACTATTGACTTGTGAAATTAGCTCTTCAGATGTAGTTGTGTGGCTCTTAAAAGAGCCGTTGTGTATAAAGTGGTCTCAGATCAGCTTATGCCCTCTCTCCGCGGATGCGGCGGGCTAACTGGATATCTTTGGGCATGATAGTGACCCTCTTGGCGTGAATGGCGCACAGGTTGGTGTCCTCGAATAAACCGACCAGGTACGCCTCGCTTGCCTCCTGCAAAGCCATAACAGCAGAGCTCTGGAAGCGCAGGTCGGTTTTAAAGTCCTGAGCGATCTCCCGGACCAGGCGCTGGAAGGGTAGCTTGCGGATCAACAACTCAGTAGATTTTTGGTAACGGCGGATCTCCCTCAAAGCCACGGTTCCGGGCCTGTAGCGGTGAGGCTTCTTCACGCCACCGGTGGCCGGGGCACTCTTACGGGCAGCCTTTGTAGCTAGCTGCTTCCTGGGAGCCTTTCCTCCGGTGGATTTACGTGCTGTCTGCTTCGTTCTAGCCATGTTTAGTAACTATCGGCTTCCTTTCTTCAGTGCCGTCACCAGTCTTATAAAGCCAGCGCCGGCGTGTGGGCAGCGCTAATTGGTCCAATCTGTGCGCGTGATCAATGGCTCGTCTGTTGAAGCGGGAAAATCAAAAGTCCTGATAAGGAAGTGAAGCCATAGATTAAGCGCAGTGATTCAAACCAGAGCTGAATGAAACACACCCCAAAACGCAGAGCTTAATGGAAAACACAACTTTTATCAAATCATTTAAAAGATAAAGCCAATTAGACTGAATGTAGACTGGTGTATTGGTATACAATATACACAAAATAATAGTAGTTTTATCATTCTTAATATGTATGCTCCCTCTTGTCAAAATGAGCAAGAATACCTTAGTAGGCTGGCCTTTATTAATACATTTATTCAAGACAACGATACTTACAGCATATGTTTTGGGTGATTTTAATGCTGATCTCACAGACAGCAGTTCTTGGTTTGCTAACCACTTAACCCACTTTTGTGAAGTTAACAATCTTATCCTGTCTACCCAAATGTTACTGCCTGCAGAGAGCTATACATACATAAGTGAAGCCTGACATAGTACATCATGGCTGGACCACTGTATCTGTACAGCTGATGGACATGCAGCTTTAGCAAACATGACTATTAGGTATGAGGTAACTCTGTCAGGCCATATACCTTTTGGTTTTACTGTGAATGTGGAACAAATGCCAGCAACAACTGGAAATAATATTGCTAATATTGCTACCAGTGTAAAATTAGACTGGTCAGCATTTGGTGAAGATGATTTCTTAGCTTATCATAGTAATACCGATATACATCTGAACAACATTTCTTTGCCCAAAGAAGCTATTTTGTGCAAGGATGTCAACTGTAAGAATGCTGTGCATAAACATTTACTCTGCTCCATGTATGATGATATAGTGACTGCTCTGTATGAAAGTGGTACACTGCTTGATAAACAATATAAGCATAAGAAACCTAACATCAGACCTGGCTGGAAAGAACATGTATCCATGTACCATGATCAAGCTCGCATAGCTTATAAATGTTGGGCCATGGCTAGAAGACCTAAACAAGGCCCAGAAAAAATGTGCTAATGCCAGATATAAGTACGCTGTTCGCTTTATAACTAAAAATGAGCAAATGCTGACAGCAGATTCTTTGTCCAGGAAAATGTTGTGTAATAATATGACAGATTTTTGAAAAGAGCTCTTAATGACTGTAAACCATTTCTACCATCAACTGTTGAAGGTGTTTCTGGGGCAGATAACATTGCAGCATTATGGAGACAGCATTACAGTGCGTTGTTTAACTGTATAAAAAGTGAACCATATGAGGACAATTTTGACATGAGTAATGACACAATAAGTGTAAGGACATATGAAGTATATGGAGCCATTCATAGGTTATCTGATGATAAATCCTCTGGTTTGGATCACATCACTGCAGAACATTTAAAACATGCTAGTGTAAGGCTAGCTCCTCTTCTAGCACTCTGTTTCACTGGGTTTATGATTCATGGCATATTACCAGACTCAATGCTGTGTATTTTACTGGTACCAGTTATGAAGGACAAAGCTGCAAATGTGAGCTGTTTGGATAATTATAGGCCGATTGCACTAGCCAGTATTTTATCTAAGGTGTTAGAAAGAATCTTGTTTGACAGAGTTAGTGTGTTCTGGTTCTGGATTTCTGTGAACCACAGAAGCCTTTTTGATAAACTGAAGAGACGGGGAGTTCCTCAGTACATCGTGAGGATTCTTTCTTACTGGTACGCTCATCAGAACATGCAGGTTAAATGGGGAAGCAGTATTTCTGCCCCCTTTGGTGTCAGCAATGGTGTTAGACAGGGTGGGATTTTGTCTCCAATTTTATTTAATCTATATGTTGATGATTTGTCCATACAGCTGAGAGCCTGTAACACTGGGTGTATATTAGGTGAAGCACTGATAAATCATCTTATGTATGCAGATGACCTGGTTGTTTTTAGTCCAAGCAGTGCTGGGTTACAGGATCTTCTCAATGTCTGTACTGAATATGGTGTGCAATATGATATAAAGTACAATGCTGTTAAAAGTGCTGTTTTGATATGTAGAACCAAGCAGGATAAACACCTACATTTTCCTTTGTTTAAACTGCCCCAAAAAACTCTTGAAGTTTATAAAAAGATGAAATACCTCGGCCACTTTATTACTGAGCAAATGAATGATGATGATGACAACGGTGTAAGCTCTATGTGCAGGCAAATACTATCACACGCAAATTCAGCTTTTGTTCACTTCCAGTTAAAGTGGCTTTGTTTAAAGCGTATTGCACATCCTACAAACAATGTAGCATGCAGAAGCTGCATGTTGCATATAATGATGCGATGAGAATCCTTTGCAGGATACCTAGAAGGGGTGGTGCCAGCCAGATGTTTGTAGCTGTGGGTGTTTGGACTTTTAAAGCACTTTTAAGAAAGTTAATGTTCAATTTTAGAGAATGACTGGATGGTTCGAGTAACAGTGTAATTTTAGCACTCACAGATCCGACAGTGAGTGGTTCCCATTACTCATTCAGTCTGAGAAAGCACTGGTTGAAGTGTTTGTGTATTAATTGATATTTTTTAGGTAATTGTATTTTATGTATATTTTGGTTTATTCTTTGTGTGTGTGTGTGTGTGTGGGGGGGGGGGGTGTATTTCTGTCTTGTTTTTATGGACATGAAGTCTGCCCATAAAGATTGATTGATTGATTGATTGATTGATTGATTGATTGATTTTTCCGACACCATTAAATTGTCAGCAGACAAGAAAGCTACTACAGCCTGCAAACAGACGAGTTGGTGAACACAGAAGATATCAAATTAGTGCATACATTAAAAAACATAACCAAATAAAACATATGTATTTTACTCAGACTATCTTCTAAGATCGAAGATTTTAGAGAATATTTTATTTTCAATTTAACTGAACTCACCAGGTATTGTATGTCTCTTACTTGTTTAAGCCCCGTTTTAATTTTTGTTTAATGTTTTTGGCTGATGGCTGAGACTTATGGACGTGTAAAACCAGTCACAAATTCAGAGATTGCATTGGTCTACATGGACTGGGTCTTCCAAAAGGCCGGAAGTGAGCGGCTGTGAAATTGGACACCCCGACTAATTAAAAAAAAAAAAAAAAAAAAAAAAAAAACCCACACACACACCCTCCTGACAGCTCATGGTTCTCCTGGCTTTGCTGAGCTTATTGGTTTAACATCATTTCTCCTTGCATTATTAGTACCCGGTTTTTAACATTAAACCCTTTAAAATTTCACCTGCGACAAGGAAACTTGGTATAAATAATTTGCATCATGTTCATCACGCTCAACCTGAGTTAAACAGACTTCTAAGGCTGTGCCATGACAGGAACAATAACAATATTGATGTAAAAATAAGTTTTATTTATGAACAGACTTTCGAATAGAAAGTGCAAACAGTACACGTTAACAGCACATCAGAAAGCATATTTACAAGCTTTAAATTTTCAGGAAAAAAAACCACACACACACACACACACACCAAAAGGGTAATTCTTCGTGGATATTTACAGTCCAGAGGCGGGTGGGATAGGAACCAGTCCAATTACAGTCTGTGATAAAGCCAACATGAAGCATAAAGGAGTCCGATGAGCAACCGGAGGATCTCTCAGAGAAACAGCTGGTGGCTCTAAAAAGAGCCTTTTGTTGCGAAGAAGAAGCGAGTGGTTTACTTCTTCTTTGGTGTAGCCTTCTTGGCCTTAGCAGCTTTAGGCTTTGCAGCCTTCTTTGCAGGCTTTTTGGGGGTCGCTGCTTTCTTGGGCGCGGCTGTCTTCTTCACCTTGGGGCTCTTTGCCTTCTTGGCCACAGCCTTCTTTGCAGCTGCCGTGGGCTTCTTTGCCTTCTTCGGGGTGGCTTTTGCTGCTTTGGGCTTCTTGGCGGTGGCTGGTTTCTTAGCTGCAGTTACCTTCTTTGCCGCCGGCTTCTTTACTTTAGCAGCGGGCTTTTTGGCTGCCTTCTTGGGCTTCTCCGCTGGCTTTGCTGCCTTGAAAGAACCGGATGCCCCGGTTCCGGTGGTGTGGACCAGAGCGCCTTTCTGCACCAGGCTTTTCAAAGCGCGCCTGACGTGAGCAGAGTTATGCTCTACGTCGTAACCGCGAGCGACGAGATCCTTCTTAATAGCAGCCAGAGAGAGTCCTTTACGTTCTTTGGACTCTTTCACAGCTTTTACGATGAGCTCGCTAGCGGACGGGCCAGACTTCTTGATAGTCTTGCTTGCTGATGCCTTCTTCTTCTTGGCCGGGGCCTTTGCTGGAGCTGCCTCGGCGGCCGGTGCTGGGGCTGCTGCGGGAGCGACTTCTGCCATGTCGTTAAGAGAGTGGTGTTTGTCGATGAGACGATAGAAATCTCCGCACAGTGACTGGAACTTAAATACAACACGAGAACCGTGGAGACTCAACCCTGCCTGCAGCTCACAGCTGCAGCGAGAAGACCTTGGCTCTTGTGTTTTCTCCTCTTAATAAACTACGTTAAAACAATATCTGAAGGTGAAAGTAGATAAAAATTTCAAATCGAATCGATAGAGAAGAACTTTCTCTTTATAGGGAAGCTTTATAAACTTTATTAGTTTTCTGCAATTTGTTTTGGAAGCCTTTAAACCTGCCCTGTCCGCCGCGCCGTGAGGCACCGATTCGTGTCTTTTCTCCGACATTTTTCTTCTAAATGCGTTAAAATCTAAAATAACCCCTCAAAAACGAGGTAAACAGCGAGGCAACATGTTTGTCCACACATGCTATGTCAAAACAATGATCCCCGTCGGATACCTTTTCATAAAACTGAGGTTATTTCGGTGCCTGCAAACACACATGAGTTGGTGGAGGAAACAGTGTAACTCGTTAACTCCACACACTCTGTGCCCTCAATTTACTGTAGATTTTCATTAATTAATGATACACGAATTATAGCTCTGGCTCCGTGAAATGTGTAATATGGATAAATCTAACAGTTTAACAGCACTACAGCT